GTGCCAACTCGTCGTCGTCGAAAATCAAAGTAGACCTTCGTCCACATCGCATGACTCTAACAATCTGAGTATTACAAAAGGAGGTCATCCGAGAGGCTAGTCTCCTAACTATAACTCGGAGAGGTCGACTAAGTCCAAACAGGTGTCGAGTCTCTGTGTCCCGGATCTGGACGACGCCGAAACGCCTACCGGACGAGGTAATCTTGATACTCACAATAACTCGAGAGAGGCATTGGAGGTTACTCGCGCAGTGGAAAGACAAACTATATCCGAAAAGCTCGTCGAGAGTCCAAGCCGTGTTGACTCGAAAATCCGTGCGAGTATTAGGGAAAAATCCCTCGTCATTTTGAAGCAGTCCAATGAAGCCGAACCAGTCGATAGGAGATCCATCTCGAACTCGTAAAAGTCGCGCCGCACTCTTGATGAAATCCTCCTCGTGTGTATCACGAACCTGCAGATACCTCGGGATTGTCAGGTCTCGTCGCGCTCCAGGCATCTGCATATCAGAACGAATTCAAATTAGCCGAGTAAGAACTCCTCGAGTTTTTCAGCTTCATCTTCCAAATCATCATCATATAGTGTTTCGGCTCCTATAATAGCGAACTTATTGGCACGTATCAGCTCTGCGTAGTATATGTCAAAAAATGGGCTCTGTCGCTCATTTAACCAAAACACATAACGAACGAACGTCAACCTTATTTCCACGATCTCGTCCACCCATGGATTGAGTTCGTATGGCTGCAATATCACCAAGTTCATATCAACGAAGTGACGTTCGGGCAATGGCGGTGCGAACTCGTAGTGAATAACATCCGAGCTGACCAATCTCCTTAAAATAAGCCGTCTGGAGAGTCTTTGCGCACTGCCATCCCAAAACCGCGGAACGTCCTCCTCTGAGTACAACTCTGACGGGTTATAAACAAGTCGGCCTATCCTTTCTACTCTTTCTCCATTACGTCTTTGGATTTTAACCATTTCGGCCGCCGAATTGCAGTCGTAGAAAATGAACAAGTCCATGGATCCCGCAGCCATCTGAAAGAAAAAGGAAAAAGAATGTGATCAAGTTAAAACTAGGTATCACTTAAAACATTTATCTTCCTTCTGGTCCGTGCTTCTTATGGCACGACCAACCACGTCAGGAGTATCTAAATGTACTCCGTTCAGCTAGTGGAACATGAGTCGGGCTGCTTGTGGCGCCAACT